TCTACTGCGTAAATCGTAGTTCTATTTTGGACATTTTATTCAAACTTATCAAATTTAAAAAAATTACATAAACAGCCTAGTATCATGCAAATGTAACCAAGGCTGATGGTAAGTATGAAACCCAGAAAAGTTTATTCTAAATATTTCTATTTTCTTGATTTTCATTGGCGTAACAGGAGAGACAAAAACTCGTGGGACACACCTTTTAGTCTTCATATTTACAAGATGAGCTTGTTTAAGACAATTTTAGTGTTTTTATGGCATTTATTATGAATAGTTTAAGGCATACAAGGAAAAAAATGAAAAGAAAATGAACAACATATGCCATAAAACACTTGTTAATTCAATGGAAAGGAGTGTAGGACATCACAAAATGTGCTAATTTGAGCTATTATCAATGCATTTTTTCTTTAAATATATCACACAGCTATAAAATTAATATTCTGCCAACTACAGAATACATGTAATGCATTCTAAATAGTGATGTGAAAATTTATATAATTTTTACTTCATATACTTTTTTATTGGCTTGTGACCAAAATTTTGGCGATTTTTGATAATGACTCTTCTATGTCCCATTCAAACTGTTTCACTCATATAGAGGCATCACCATTTACCTGTGAAAGGCTTCGAATTTTGACCTTTACTTGGTACTCAAGACCATTTTGAGCAGTGAGTGATCTTTATCGTGCCAAGTCTGCTGGGACACAGGGCCTGTGTTTTTAAGGTCTCTTCCAAAAGACCTGCAACTTTCACTTCAAAGTGCTGAGTACATGGTAAAGGAACAGGTGCAACCCATTTTTATCGACTTAGGTCAGTTGTGGCTGAAAATTTGGAGTCATGACCTGCCAATCACAGAACAAGTGCTCTGTGCATGGTTATATCTGAATATCTAAGATCAAGAAGGGTTAAGAATCATCAAACTATATGTAAATTGATGAATTCTGGGTTCTCAGAGTGTTTAACCAAAATGTAGGTCATGCTGACCTTAATTTGGAATTTTGAAGATTTATCATAAGTATATTGGTTACTAAAGAGTGAAGAGGCTTAAAATAGAAGTGAAAGGTTGTACAATTTATCAGAAGAGTGATTCTTAGGCTGTGGGCCACTAAATGTATTCGGTGGTAAAGCATCTCCTTTTTCTCCATTAACTGTTATATGTCTTAATGCACACATTTGGACACATCGTCTCAAGCCACTGTACGGAGTCTGTTTATATAGCTCTCTCCTACTCGTGGCTTCTTGATCACAAAAAGTGTCGTAATCTTGAATATTCACGTCTCTCTATTGTGACGTCATATTCAGTCAGTGGCAAGTTTTGTTTCCATCGCAATCGAAATCAATAACTGACGTCAACAGTATACAAGAAATATTTCCTTTACAGCGATTGGATATTGAAAGGTTGCGATAAAGCTCATCATCCGACTATGCGTTACTCGCATTGGTCAAAATTTTAATGAGCTACAAAGAATTCTCTCCTCGTTGAATCACAGCCAGAATGGGAGAGGAGCGTACATTTTGGCCATGGTTTGCGACGATGATTTGGACAAGGAATAAAGATTAAATATTATTTCAGTCCACCTCCTGTAGACCTCCACCCCTTTTTAGCTCACCTGAGCCAAAGGCTCAAGTGAGCTTCTCTGATCACATTTTGTCTGTCTGTCCGTTTGTCTAAACTTTTCACATTTTTGACTTTTTCTGAAGAACCACTTGGCCAATATTAAAATTTATACTAAAATCAAGGGCCAAGTCCCCCCTTACAAGAAGAGATAATCATGAAAAGAAAAAAAATAGGGTGGGGTCATTAAAAAATCTGATGAAGAACTACTGGGCCAGAAAAGCTGAAACTTAATTATGTTTTCCAAGCATCCTTGGGTAGTGTAAATTCTAAATTGTTCAAATCATGAATCCCGGGAGATGGACAGGGTCACAATAGGGAATCAAAGTTTTACATAGAAATACATGTATATTGGAAGAAATTTTTTTTAAAAATCTTCTTCTTAAGATCAAATGGGCCAGAAAAACTGAAACTTATGTGGAATTGAAGCATCAAATCATGACCCCTGTGAACCCATTGGGTAGGATGGGGCCACAATATGTATTACAAGGGGGAAATCTAGTAAAGAAGAGCATGGTCAAAGCTACTCAGGTGAGTGATGTGGCCCATGGGCCTCTTGTTTTCTAGAAAGTCTAATGTCTTCAAATGTGAAAGGTAAAAATAACAAACAGTGGTCAATCTGAAAAAATCCATATGAATAACAAATTCTGTGAAGAGGGCATTGAACATGGAACCTGGAAATTCCTGAGGTTGTATCAGGTGCAAAGAAGGAGTGAGCATCCACCTGATGACCAGTCCCATCTGCCATGAACCCTTTGTATTGATCAGGTAGACACAATATTCTGTAGTCTAAATTAATATAAAAACTTAAAACATCAGCCAAAATATGACTACATTGTATTTGGAACTTGAAGTCATTATAACAACTATAGCAAATATAGCGAATATATGAAATGTTAACTTTAAACAAGGTTGTTGAAGACCCCATAACATCAACTTTAGTTTAAAAATTAGTCCTTTTCAGGGCTTGCTCATGAGTGTCAAATAATTAAATGCCCTAACCTTGCAGGTGTCCCATTTATACAGCAATCTGTACTCCTGAATTCTGAACATCTACTGTGTTTCCCGAATTTCCAAAAAAAGACTTCATTGTGCTTAAATTGATGTCTTATTTCCTTGAAAGGGAAAGAGTCTCAGAAAAATTATGATTATGTACAAAGTTAAGGTTTGAAATTATAAATAGCTGTTGATGGAGGGCGTTAATTTTCTATGATAATTGTTTATTCTTTTAAATTGGAGAAGGAGGCTGGCTGCACCTCATGCAGCCACCATTTCAAGATTAGTGAAACTGAATACATTGTAATGTTTGTTATTAAATGTAAACATAAATGATTAAAGATAAATAGAATTTTTGTGATATGATAGGCCCTAACCATGAAGCCTGATTAGTACTCTAATCTTTAAGCCTTATAAAAAGAGTGTCCTAATTATGGAGTACGTCTAACAGATACTCAAAATACTAGTATATAAGGTGTATTGATATTCATCTTGTGACGGTGTTTTGTGCCCTTATAGGGGTCCTAACTATGCAGTCTGGCCAAAACACGTGACTTAACCAAGGAGTCTGATGCCCTAACAGGTGCTCTTTCTATAGAACTAGTGTCCTAGTAGTTGCCCTAACTATACAGCCTAATGTCCTATCAGATGTACAGACTATGGAACCAATGCCCTTACTATGGAGCCAATGTCCTAACAGGTTAACGGGTATTTAAATCCTTATCAGGTGCCTTGTTTATGCAGCATCATAAATGCCCTTTCAGGAGCCTAAATATATAACTAATTGGCCAATACCGTAACAGTTGACTTATCTATGGAGTCAATGCCTTAACAGGTACTCTATAGCTATCTTTGGAGCCTAAATAAATGCTCAAACAGGTACACTATGAAGCCAATGCCCTACTGAGTGTCCCATCTATAGCATCAGTGCCCTTTCTTTGCAGTTCATGCCAAGAAAACCTTAGCATTCTCTCCGTATAGCGAACTCAATAAAAGCCGAATTAACGTTAATCTGTGATTCTTCCCATGGGAGACCTGCGGAACAATTAATGTCTGCAGTTTTCAGGGAGGGATCTTAAAATTTACTGGGTTAAAATTACAGGTAGAATACTAATTATTTAGAAGCCTTTGCTCCCCCCCCCCCCCCCCCCGCCCCTTGCCTTTTTAGGGGGGGGGGGGGGTAAAAAAAAAAAGAAAATGAATTAATTAAATTAAAGTAATTCTTCAATAAAGTAAGCTGCCTTTCAATTTTTTACGTAATTCAATTTCAAAATATCTTTTTTTCTTAGTACAAATTAATTGATATCGGGTAGTTGTAGAAGTACCGCGTCGAAATATAGAGAAAAGGGTACCAAATTCCCGGAAGTTTACATCATTTCCTGGTTGAACAAGATGGAGACGAGTACTGAATGGGTAGACGTTACCCCATTGGCTATGTAAACATTTTCATTTTAAAGTGAATATTTTCTTTTGATTTTTTTTCTTATTTTCTTAATTCAGTCCAACTTTTTTTAAATATAAATTTTGATACCAGTGCCTCTGGCAATTTACGTATTTTGTAAATAAAGATTTTTGACAGGAACTTTTTAGGGCATAGGGGACTACTTCCTGGGGTATAAGTTTATTTTTTTTCTTTAACTAAGAAAGCTAAAAACCTAGGATCCACCCCCAGAAGTCTGCTGCCGTAAATTGTCTTGCCAGTGTTTTGTCACTCGGAGTTCCTCGGATGACTCGTACCTCGCACACAACCTCGGACGTCAACGGTGAGCTACCATCTTGCTGATTCAGTCATGTGATCTTATTTGAATTTCTTTGAAATGTCATACATTTGAAATCGAAGTTATTTTGTGGTACACTCAAAAGTTTTTTCTTGCTTTCAAAGCCTACTAACATGAGATTGTAATCAAAACCTGTTTACGATAAAGAATTGCACAAATTAAGAAACATTTTCGAAAAACGTTATGCAGAGCGAAATATGAAATGAGTGATAAGGCAGTTTCCAGCGGAGAAATGTAAGGATCTGATGCATATTCCTCCACTAATCACATCCGAGGTTTGAATGGAGCGTAGCGGAGTCAGCAGAGGATTGCCGATTTGCGTTTTGTCAATTACACTTTTATTGACTCCATTGCTGTGGAAAACCGGACGAGATTTCTTGGCATGGTATGCCCTATCAGGTTCCTTTGATGTGAAAATTGCAACTCTCCAGTGTATGACAATATTCGATTATTAATTTTAAGAGCTATGGCATTCTTAAAAATCCGTAGCTTTTAACATTACCAGAGTCGGTACACCGCGTTGTATTTTATAGTGAATTCGATTCAATACTTTTAGTACTTTGATTCTATGAAAACCACGGGATTTAACGAATCACTTCGGAAGTCACGCGGACTTTCCCGATAGTGTGTTTAGATTCGTTGGGTCTGCCATGTTACATGTTATCGTTGAAAATTACGAAGACGTAATCTGAGGGATTTCAGGTATTTTATTGTGTTATTCACAAATATACCTCCGTACAAAATATGTATCTACATTTAATTTTTTTGTTTTCAATTTATAACATAATCACAAGTCGTATCTCGATATTTATTGCTATGAAGTCAAAACGAAAGTAGAAAACTTGACATTTTGATTAAAGAATAAAAACAAAAATTAAAGAAATCATTTAGAATTGTAGCATCACAGGCTGTGATAATGGATGAGAGGTTCATTGAAACTTTTGTAAAGATTAAAGTAGAATCTGCCATTTCATATTTATACTGAAACATTGGGCAGGTCCAGCACAATCTCTTGATTAAAAGCTTTAAAATTGAGGTATATAGCTTTATTAAGCTATTCAAAATAGCTTGATAAAGCTATTTATATGCAATTTTTTACAAAAACGTTTTTTGAAAGAAATAAACAAAAAGTTGCAAATATTTGACTATTCATATATGTACGGATTATCAAAAAAAACACAACCTAAATCATAGAAAGTTCTAACATTTCTGCTGTTGAATACTTTTAAAGCCATAAGTATGGCATATGTACAATGAAAATTATTAGACTAAAATTATAAGAACTTATTATTTGTATCATTACTTTATATAAAAATAGAACTTTTCCGTAAATTACAAAATCTAAGTCAATTGCGTTATAAAGATATCACAATTTAATTTGGGTTCTCGGAATTTTCTCCGACTCGGAAGAAAATACAAAAGATTTAAATAACACAATACAGAGAAAATATAATCGTATTATTAGATTAAACGAGGTGTTCTCCGTGTTCAGAATTGTATGAAAAGTTTTAATTTATTAAATGTATTAACTATATTTCTTTACTTAATTTTGTATTTTTCAAAAATATATTTTTTTGATCAGTTACTCCATATATGGCTTTAAGCAAAATTTGAATTTCCATTGTTTGAGTAACTGTGTGTGTGGTGAGGCGTGCGTAAGTATGATTGCTTATCATTGTGCTGAACTGCTAATATATACCCAGCAGGCACGCAACGTTGTTTCAACGTTGAAAGGAGGTGGAATATAGGTTGCAACGTTGATCAACTATATTTCAACGTTGTTTCAACGTTGAGGTTTCAACGTTGAATCCTCAACCTATTTTCAACGTTGAAACAACGTTGAAGCTGCAACATATTTTCAACGTTGAATGTTCGTCGATATTTCAACGTTGAAACAACGTTGAGGCTGCAACATATTTTCAACGTTGAATGTTCGTCGATATTTCAACGTTGAAACAACGTTGAAGCTGCAACATAGTTTCAACGTTGAATGTTCGTCGATATTTCAACGTTAAAAAAAAGTTGAGGCTGCAACATATTTTCAACGTTGAATGTTTGTCGATATTTCAACGTTGAAACAACGTTGAAGATTCAACATGTTTTCAACGTAGAGTATTTTCTGATATTGTAGAGTTTAAACAAGGTTTAAAAATGCAAAGTTGACTGACTTGATTTCAACGTTGAAACAACGTGCAAGATGCAACATATTTTCAACTTTAGGAAAGTAAGGAAAATTTAACGTTGAAACAAGGGGTAACGAGTATTGAGCACTTTAGTTTTTAAGTTCAAAATATAAAGGTGTCTAATTTAACTCTAATCCATGCGATTTTTCGCAATATACACAAAGCTGCATGCATTGTTAGAAAATTTTATATATATAACAGGGACGTAGCATCCGGGGGGGCCAGGCCCCCCCACTTTTTTCCCCAACATAACCTTTACTATAGGAAATGTTCATTGATGGGATGGTTGGCCCCCCCACTTTATAAACATAGTATAGTGATAGCAAGGATTGAAGGAAAAAAATTGAAGTGGTAGTAAGTCGGCTTTAAAAAAGTTGGCCACTACCCCCCCCCCACGAAATAGGATTTTCGAGTTTGGGCAACATAATAACTTTTAATTCGTTTTTTTTTTTTTTTTTTTTTTTTGCTTGTCAACTTCTTCAGGTAAGTAAAAAAATTTTTTTCTCAGGTTGGCCCCCCCACTTTCAAAAACGATGCTACGTGCCTGTATAATAATTATGCTTAATAAATGAAACGCTTGCATTATAAATGATTTACTCAAAAGAGTTGTGCATATAGCTAGTACCATTATAAAATTTTAAATATGAGTTTATATGAAGCATGGCATATACATTTAACACTTTATTATAATTATGTTTCAAAAAAAGTTTTTTTTTCCAATAAATTGTGAATGCTATTTTTTTTGGTCATATATTCATAAAATATGTCAAATATAAGCTTTTAATAAATAATTCAACATCTTTATCCAACACCTCACTGTAATTCCATGTTACTATAGAATTAAAAAAAATAATTATTTCGCATTAATGTTCTTAAAATAAGACTCATATGGATCCGTGCCGTATACTCTTGCACAGATTATACGTATACAGAGCGAATCTAAGAAGTCTTAAAGCTTATTTTATTAGATTGTGTTTTCTGTGAGTATTAATTCTATAATCTTTCTTTACACAAAATATAAAAAAATTCAAATAAACACATAATAATTTTCACACTGACAATTAACCCCGGTCAAGTTGCATTGTTTAAGATCCACTCCCCAAAAACCTTCGAGATATCAGATAAGGAGTGCCTCTCGCTTAGTTGGTCAGTTTCAGTGTCAGGATAACCTTGTTATGCAATTTTCTTGCTGGGCAGAGTATAGCTGTTTGCAGCTTATCTAGGTCAAAATTTGAATTCAACTGATGGACAAGAAGTGCGCGTTTCTTTGTTGTTCATATTTCATGTGTTTTTCAAGCTATTTACACAAGGATTAAGGCTTGAATATCAACTTCTGCTCAGTAAGTATTATTTCCTTTTCATGAATTTAAGAAATTCAGTTTTTTAGTATCTGTTAATCATTTAATTCTTGTTTTATAAGTATATTTGAAATCTGCGTGAAATGCAAATCCTTGGTTCGTGTTATGTGTTTTGTTGATAATTATTCATTTGGTTGTGAAATATAAGCTAGTATACTAATATATTATACAATTTAACTAATTGTAGTACGTCGCAAGGTTCAATCAACCAGTTACATGAGTTATGCAGGGAATTGATTGTATAGGAATTAGTCAGCCTTGATTGCATCAGATTCTTCTCCCGTGAAAATTATACAAAGGAATGCAACATTTTGTAAGTACGCTATGTATATGTATGTCTATAACATTTTTCTTTAGTAATAATTATTTATATAATAAGCATTTTAAACATAAAGTCAATATTAATTCTTTTAATCATGTTAATTAAATCCAAGCACCGGAATATATTCCTTTGTCTGATTTTTTTTAAATCATTCATGTATATTTATTTTTATCGTTTGAATAACGTGTTACATGTGTACGTACATTTTATCGAACAAATGGCTTTAACATCTTTATTTCTTTTATCAATAGGCTTTTGCTTTAGAGGGTGGATTCTCCTGTTATTTTCTTTCATTCGTGGGACTTAACTATATGCATGATTAAAATCAATGGATCTGCCACTTTCTGGAACTTAGAAGTGTAAGGCATACGCGTACTTTGAAGGACCTGGATGTGATTATTGTGAACCACTTTTCCCAAGGAATATAAATTTTGTCAAGCAGTGATTTTTGAGGTTCAGTGAGGTTCAGTGATTGAATCCGAATTTGTTTTTGTCTTAAAAATACATGTAAAATAAATTCTCTCACAATCATAATACTGGATTACAACTAATCTAAATATTACGCAACTTGAATAATTTTTTTTTTTTTTAAAATTTGAAATGTATTTGTTTTTAAAGCAAAATGTTATATGAATTCAACGTGATTTCAACCAAATATCAACGTTTGTACATCCGAAAAATTTCAACCAAATCTCAACCTAATTTCAACCAATGTTCACTTTTGTTCAATGTTGATATTTGACGTTGAAACAACGTTGAAGCTTCAACGTTGCCTCAACTTTCATTTGCAACCCAAAATCAACCATAAATCAACCAAAAATTCAACCCATTTTCAACGTTTATTCAACGTTGAAAATTGACGTTGAAACAACGTTATGTCTCAACGTTGCCTCAACTTTCATATGCAACCAAAATTCAACGTTGATTCAACGTTGAAGTGCAACGTTGATTCAACGTTGAATCAACGTTGAAATGCCTGCTGGGTAATCAATTATCCTGTTGGCCATAACTGGCCTCCTTTATAATTCCATTCAAGAAATAACTGTGGTCACTCATCAATAGCCCCAAAACTTTTAAAGCTTTGAGTACAAAGTCTCTCAAGGAGACGCAATTTGCATGGTGAGTGATTTTTACATGCATTGTATTCAGAAGAGTACAAAGTTTAATATTTCCACTGCACCAAGGTGCGACTTTATGCACATGTTGAAAAAATAACATATTTGAGAAAAATGTCTGAGAAAATAGCTTAATCAAGCTATTCTGAATAGCTTAATAAAGCTATATAGCTAAATCAAGAGATTGTGCCGGACCTGTTGGGGGTACATGCATACATGTATGACACAGTTTGCCAAATTCCCAGTGTAGTGAAGATTCAAGTTTGTTTAATTGTGGTTCTAACAATTAATTATCATCTGGATGTATAATATAATTATTTGAAATAGACTACAGTGTAATCATTCCTTTTTTTGGTTGTTTTCTAGCCATGAACAAGATTCACCCTTCACCATTTTTAAAATGGGTGTTTTAGGCCAACTACCAGTTTCAGGGAGTGGATCGATGGGAGATCAAGAACCAAGTAGCCCAGGTATAAGATACTACATGCATCAGTATATATACTATCAGTATTCTGTTTATGCTTTTTCTTCAATGGCAAATATTTATTTTCAACGGAGTCAAATATTTTAATATTAAGCTCAAATTGTAATTTTTTTTGTTCTTTTTTAAAGGAATGAAGCTGCTTCTTTCAACTTAAGTTAATTATGATATGAAGATAATTTTGGGCAGTTTACACTTTATAAACCACAAAGCATGTCATTGAAAAATTGATCTGCTTTTCTAGAACCACTGGAGCCAAAAATGATTTCATTTTCTGACAAAGTATAGATTAAAGATTCAGATGAATGGACTGTAGTTCTTTCTTATTTTCATGGCAGAGAGCCACTACATATTGAGCTTGTAAATAAGTGAAGTTATCTGAAAGGTCAAACATTATTTTGAATTGTTATTCCTTAGTACAGTTTGGCTCGAGCATGAATCAAGCTATCACTAAATAGGAGGAGACATGTATTTTAGATATTATGTCATAAAGTTATGCAGATATTTTTTGTTTCAAGATTTTTAAATACAATAACTAGAACAAAGCACTATGATATTTGACTTCTATATTATCTTTAGTTTCAGATTCTGGAATAAGTTCGGCATCCAGTTTATCACCACAAATGTCTCTCATTGAGGGTAAGTCTTGATGTGACAGGTAAGGGTGAAATGTTTACTAAATTTTGTAAACGTTTAAACGAACAGCAGTAAACGAAACGGTGCCGTTTAAACGAGAGAATTTTGTGTGTTGAATTTTTATGGCTACTTACTCAAGAAACACTAATAGAAATAGTAATAGAAAAATATAATACGATAACATTGAAGGTTTCGGTTTACGTTCAATTTTTCAAAGCTCTTATGCCATTATAAGCATGATACTTTTTATTTTCTAATCAATAAAAAGCAACAACAGGGGTTATTTATTTTTGAACATATACTTGGAAAAATAACATAACACATCGCTAGTTTTCACTACTCGGAAATCGGAATTAAATATGTTAGACCATAGGCCTATTGGTTTCTAGAAAGTTTTGTTTAATATTAACATTCGTTCATAACGTTACTGGTATCGATTATAACAGATAAAAAAAATGTTTGTAACAGACACGAAGTGTGTTTTCTTTGGTAAATATGAAGTAAAACAACTTGTTTGGATGAAAGGTTTTTTCTGATAGACATTGATATTAACCTTCGTGTAAACGTTTACTCAATTCGTAAACGTTTAGAGCATCTAATCGAAACGTCGCCGTTTAAACGTGTAATCGTTTCGCCCTTAGTGACAGGAGAATCATAGTTACATCATTTTTAACTTCATTCAAAGCAAGTATAAAATTGTGTATGCAATTTAAATCTATGAAAAAATGCAAACAAAAATTCTAGTTTGCGCTCTAGTTATGTATTCTGTTAATTCTTTGTGAATCTGATGACAGATTGTCCTTGTAAGGCCGTACAGAGAGGCTACACATTTTTGCGAGACAGAATACAAGAGGAACAGCTGATAGGCTACCTCTGCGTTGTTTGTGAGATGCCACAGCTGTCGGATGAAGATAAACTAGAACTGAGAAAAGGAGGGGGGTGTCGTCTTAAACAAGAACTATTGAAACAAGTTATTAAGAAAGGAGAAGAGACATGCAAAGCATTCCTGGAAAAATTGAGACATTTCCCCTTCTTGTACAACGAGTTGTGTCAAACTTTGGCGAATGAGATCAGAAATGGTAAAATTTCAATTTAGTTCTTGTATATTATGTAAACATTTAACATAAAGCTGTTGAATATGGTGGTAATTTATTGCATTTTGAAACAAGAAAAAAAGGTGATGATAACAACGATCATTCTCAAAAAAAAAAAAAAAAAAAGCAAAATTATACAAATTTGTGAAGAATCAGACTGTGGGTCTCCCTCAAATTGTTTTCAATTCTTTTTGTCAATTAAAGAATTTGAATTCTTGTTTTTTAATTGAAGAGGATGCTGAATCACCACCTGATCTAACACAAGACCAGTGGAGTTACCATGAAGATACCTTGATAGAAGAAATGGAACCAAGTCGTATCTCAGATCTTCTTTTCAGTCAGTGTGAACTAAGTGTTGCCGAACATGATGAAATTGAGAAGCATCATGGAAGAAAAAAGAAAGCAAAGGCAGTGATTGTAAAAATGAGACAAAGAGACAAAATACCTGTACTTTGGCGTGCACTAGAAACTACCAAGTGCAAAAAAGCTATTGAACACATCAGAGAGAATGTGTGCAATCGGCATGGTTTGCTTCCTAGTGAGTAAAAGCTCATTTCTTTACATTGTAATTTATATTCAATTTTAAGTATTTTTTAATGATCTTATTATCCTTACAGGTGACTCGGTGAGCTGTGTAAGATTCAACTACAGGAATCTCTTAACAGAATTTAAAACTGAGGAGAGACGACAAATTGTATTTGACTCTTTAAGAGAAGACATTTTTCATCATCTTAATGCATTGCCAAAGGTGAACCATCTGATCAAAAACGGTCTACGTAAAGAGAGAAGAGGGTGTGAAAGTCTTCTTACATTTCTTCGTGAAGTAAACAATGGATTTTTAAGAAAAATGACAACAAGGCTTGATGAAAGAAGAAGAAACGGTAAAATTCACTTTATAACAGTAGACCCTGCATGGGTATCATGACAAGGTTTAGATTCTTTATAACTGATAATTGTTAATTTCAAAACGTATCATTGAAAATGTTCCTATATGAAATAATATTCATGTAATATAGGATTAAATACATGATAGTGTATATTAAAATATTGACATTTGCAAATGTTTTCCATTATATAACACTACTGAAAGGAATGTGTATCTATAACTATATAAATACAGGTACCGGGTCAAGAGGTCATAGATGTGGGTATGGATAATCATTTGACGTAATTTCTCAGTGACGTCATAAAGGATCAACGCGCCTTCAGTGGATTACATACTTGCTGTTGAGTTTGAAAAATAATGCATTTCACACGCTAAAATTCACAATCAGGCAAATATAAAGTATGAATAAGTCACAAATGTAAATATAAGTAAAAAGGTATCATTTTAAAACATCTATCGGGCTATAAATTAGGGTTGGTACGAGATTAAATTCATCATAAAGCCCTTCATGCTTTATGGAATTTAATCTTGTGACCAACCCATATTTATATCCCGCTAGATGTTTAAAAATGATACCTTATTTCTAAAATACACTTTAGTCAAAAAAAGGGCACATATAATTTGAAAATTGTTTGTGATGGTACATGTACTGCATGTAGTGCATGTGTACCTATCTAAGGATCTGGAATTCTAGCACAGAAGATGTAGATGTTCTAAGTAAGATAGTCATAGCACTGTAAAATTTGATGTAGCTCAAGCTTTAATGTGCTCAATCTCCACTAATTTTACTTTTATTAGCTCACCTGAGCCAAAGGCTCAAGTGAGCTTTTCTGATCAAAATTTGCCCATTGTCTGTTGTTGTCTTCATCGTCGTCTTTGTCGTCATCGTTGTAAACTTTTCATATTTTCATCTTCTTCTCAAGAACCACTGGGCCAATTTCAACCAAACTTGCTACAGAGTATCCTTGGGTAAAGGGGATTCAAGTTTGTTCAAATAAAGGGCCATGCCCTTTTCCAAGGGGAGATAATTATGAATTAGAGAAAAATTAATCGCATTTTTAAAAAAATCTTCTCAAGAACCACCGGGCCAGGAAAGATGAAACTCATGTGGAATCATCCTCAGGTAGTGTAGATTCAAGTTTGTTCAAATCATGACCCCTGGGGGTAGGGTGGGGCCAAAATGGCCGATCAAAGTTTTACATAGGAATATATAGGAAAAGTCTTCTTCTCAAGAACCATTGAGACAGGAAAGATGAAACTCATGTGGAATCATCCTCAGGTAGTGTAGATTCAAATTTGTTCAAATCATGACCCCTGGGGGTAGGGTGGGGCCAAAATGGCCGATCAAAGTTTTACATAGGAATATATAGGAAAAGTCTTCTTCTCAAGAACCATTGAGACAGGAAAGATGAAACTCATGTGGAATAATCCTCAGGTAGTGTAGATTCAAGTTTGTTCAAATCATGACCCCTGGGGGGAGGGTGGGGCCAAATGGCCGATAAAAGTTTTACATAGGAATATATAGGAAAAGTCTTCTTCTCAAGAACCATTGAGACAGGAAAGATGAAACTCATGTGGAATAATCCTCAGGTAGTGTAGATTCAAGTTTGTTCAAATCATGACCCCTGGGGGGAGGGTGGGGCCAAATGGCCGATAAAAGTTTTACATAGGAATATATGGGGAAACCTTTTTAAAATCTTCTTTTCAAGTACTTCAAAGCCATGCTTGTGATATTCATAGGGAATCATCCTCAGGTAGAGTGGATTCTAGTTTGTTCAAATCATGACCCCCCCCCCCAGTAAACTTTCAGTTTTTTTTCCTAGCCAAATGCTCAGGTGAGCGATGTGGTCCCTGGGCCTCTTGTTTTGTATGAAATGACTTTTATTACAGGGTAATTGTCAAAGTGCAAAGTTGTCTACGGATACCTGACTGTAACAATTATCAATTAACTAGAACTAGCTGGTGCAATAATTTGTGGAACAAATATCTCATTCATAATAATATCCTTTTTACTTCACCTGAGATAAAAGCTTTTAAAAGTGAGCTTTTCTGACCACCCATTGTGAATTGCCCATCCATCTATCTGTCTGCCTGTAAACTTTACACATTTTCAACTTCATCTCAAGAACCACTGGGCCAATTTTAACCAAATTTGGTGAAGAACAGCTGGACCAAAGTTAGCCTACCATTTTTATGAAGGAAATATTAAAGAATTTATTTAAGAAATATGGTGTCGTTTTTAAACATCTATTGGCCAGGGATGTAAATACGGGTTGGTCAGAGAACAAATTCCATTAGCTCAAAGGGCTTTATGGTAAGTTTGATCTCGTACCAACCCGTATTTATAGCCCGATAGATGTTTTAAAATGAAACCTTATTACTTACGAGGGTTGTCCCGTAAAATCATGGACAAGTTGTGTAGTGTGAAAAATAAACATCACTGCATTCTGAAATTTTCACTATTGTTTAGTACATATTTTAGTAATATACACAGCAAATTTCAGATGAATATATGCATAAATAAACAAATTATGAGATTTTATGCCATGTATTGTATCACCTTACGGCACATGGATTATAACGTCAAAGTGTCTAAAACAGCGTCATGTTTTATCTTTGCTGAAACTGAAGTTGGATGAGTCTGACTTAAATTTAGGAATTTCATTGATACACATTCTTTAGTCTCCATAAACAGCCGAAGAACCAATTGGCACCCTTTTGCAATCTTCTGAAGATTTATTAGTAAGTTACGGACAATATTCTCACCATCATTCAACTAATAGAAAATATCATATCTGCTGTCTACTGTGACAGTGTCTTTTGCTATTACATTAGGAGTTTGTCCGTATGTTTTGTACTCCCCAGGGACTCGATAAAAAAATTCACTAAGAAAACTCCTATTTCATTTGTATACTTAAGATATGGTAAAATCTTTATAATCTTTTTTCTTCTATGGTCATTTCAAGTTTCTAAAGGTGTCATTACAACATCGAAATAAAACTGAACTGTTCTCCGGTGCGCTGTAACGTCATAAAACGTCGCCATTTTTCGTGTGTTGTGTTTACCACTTTCCCATTTCGAATTCTCGAGAAACTGCCAAAAAAATAACCAAATGCCTTAAAATTTTTACAAAGACTAGAAAATTGATTGTGAAATTTAATTAGGATAATTTTAATTTAAATCTTATGTATTTAAAACTTTTATTTTGAATTCAAACTTTTGTATTCTTTAATAGGACCTTGGTTTTTTGACCGTGCACCGTAGGACAATACCCCGTGCACATTCAAGCATAATAAAATCTTTATTTTTGCCTATATTTTATCAAAAAAATTATCATGCACTTTAAAATGATAAATAAACATTTACTGAAATTTTCAGCTTTCAGCTAAGTGCGCCCATTACTTTTCGTGAAAAACATTTTGTTCACGATTTTACGGGACAACCCTCGTATCTTTACATTTGTGACTTATTCATATTTTACATTTGCCTGATAATGACCTTATAAGCGTGAAATGCTTTATATTTCAAACTCAATGGCATGTATGTAATGCATTGGATGTGCGTCAACACTTTTTGATGTCATGGAAAAATTACGTCAAACGTTTATGACGTGAGGAACCTGTATCTATTCGGATATAGATATTATGCATTGCTTTAAATAGTGTTATATAAAGGAAAACATTTGCAAATGTAAATATGAAAATGAAAATTCATCTTGTTGAATAAGATATTTTAAATCTTTATTTGCAATTAACAGATAATTTTCTTCTGAGTATCTACATGTTGCTTATTTTTAGGAAGAGGAACACTACACAGGGAACATTCCATCTCCTATAAAAGACTGAGAACTCTGAAAGATTATCTTCTAGAGGAATTAGAACCAATGCCTGTATCCGATGTTATGTTGGAAGAGCGAGCATTCTCATTAGACGTCCATGACACTATAGAGGAGCAAAAAGGGAGACGTCAACGATCAGAGGCGGTCTATAACGGACTTTTAATGGACAGGTCGGAGCTGACCTTGGAAAGTTTCTTGTTTGCACTTAGAGAAAACAAGTTGGAACATATCTTAAATACATTCAGAAGGCCAACAGATGGACAGGTTCCCCATACAGAGCAAAGAAACTTAGGTTAGTTCTCAGTATAGGTTTCAAATGAATTTTTACGTTATTTTGAATTATGGTTTCATGGAAGTATTATGATAAATTTTGTTTTGAAGATGATGATGATGATGATGGTCACCTCCCTGACTTCCAGATTGTACGTGTTGATGGTGGTATGCAGCTGCCTGATGGTGAATATAATAGAATCTATGCATTTATATTATGAGGACATTGCATCAATGTATAATTAGATACAAAAAATACATAATTCTCATGGACTTTTTATGCCCCCCTTCGAAGAAGGGAGGGCATATTGCTTTGCTGCTGTCCGTCGGTCTGTCGGTCGGTCTGTCGGTCGGTCTGTCGGTCCATTTAGTTTCCGTTCATTTTCTTTACAACCGCTGCATATACTTACATGAAATTTGGTATACAGGTTTATCAGGTACATATCTAGGTCAAGTTCTGTTTGGGGTACGATCACACCATTTTTGACAGAGTTATGCCCCTTGGACTTAGAAAAATTCCATTTATTTGCAGTTTCCGTTCATTTTCTTTGCAGAGGTTGCACATATTGAAATGAAATTTAGTATACAGATGTTTCAGCTGAATATCTAGGTCAAGTTCTATTTTGGGTTTGATCGCACCTTTTTTGATAGAGTTATGCCCCTTGGACTTATGAAAATTCCACTTATTTGCCGTTTCCATTCATTTTCTTTGCAGAGGTTGCACATATTCAAATGAAATTTAGTATACGGATGTTTCAGCTGAATATCTAGGACAAGTTCTGTTTTGGGTTCGATCACAACCTTTTTGTCAGAGTTATGCCCCTTTGACTTAGAAAAATTCCAATTATTTGCAGTTTCCGGTCATTTTCTTTGCAGAGGTTGCACATAATGAAATAAAATTTAGTATACAGATTTTTCAGCTGAATATCTAAGTCAAGCTTTGTTTTGGGTGCGATTGCACCATTTTAGACAGAGTTATGCACTTTTGGACTTAGGAAAAATCCAATTTGGGGGGGAGGGGGGCATAAGTGTTTTACAAACATCTCTTGTTTTGTGAAAGATGTTGCTATGTTACTAAGAATTGGATTAAAAAAAAATTCAAACAGTATTCATTAGATGAAAATGTAAAAGGAGTAGCATTTTTGAAAAAAAAATTACAGTAATTTTGATTCTTGGTAGCTATGAAAACATATAAAATGTTTCATTAAAATCTAAAAGTATTTTACAGAAAGATTTCTATTTAAGTAGCCATCGAGCTATGTTCATCAAAGCTGAACTAAAAGTATACTTAGACCAAAACTGTAGGAAGAGTTCATTAAAACAAAAAATTAAGACAAACAGCTTAACAGATGGTGGACAACACCTCTGGTCTCTGATAAGGCCTAAAAACAGAGATCTGTGAACATGCATGAAGAAAGCTGCAATAATTAATAAAAATAATTGTATGATTTTCAGCTCACCTCAACGAAGTTGGGGGAGCTTATGTGATACCCTCGGCGTCGGTGTCGGCGTCGGTGTCCCAGGTTAAGGTTAAGTTTTTTGGAGCAGTTTTCTTTTTATGAGTTCTTTAATGACCAATCTTGCATGGATGATACATCTAAGGATGCATACTACCAGGCTTGCTTCGGTTGCTGAATCTGGCCTACTTTTTGTGGATGAGTGAAAATGTTAGTTTTTGCTGCATGTTTCATTTCCAATTAACTATGAGCCCTATAATGAGCAAACTTGCATGGACGATACATCTTAGGATGCACACTAAAGGACTTGCTTCAGATGCTGAATTCGACATACATTTTTCAGATAAGAGACCAGGTAAAAGTTATGGTTGCAGGTCTATTTCCAAAAAACTATAAGGCTTATATAACATTGTATAAACCAAACTTGCACAAATGTTGCATAAAGAGATGAAAATTCTCAAATTTGCTTCAGATGCTGGATTTTGATTACATTTTCATGAAGAAGAACTAGATTAAATTTTTTATGTAGGTCTATTTCAAAGTATCAGATCAAAATTGCTTAAATATTTTCATATTTGGAATGTACACTTTTTGTTGGTTAATTGTGTGACTTTGCCTTACTTAAAGACAACATTCGTTGAGGTGAGCTCTGTAATCTCTGATTACCTATGTTAAAATTTTCTTAGTAAAGATATATACATGTATAATTAATACCATATTTTTCAGACCTTGCAATGTCCTCCAATGTGGAGATGATTGTGTCCATTCCTGTGGTTGGAGAAAGAGAAGTTATCCAGCGAACTGTAGACAGAATAAACAATGACCCTCAGCTAAAGGCCAGGGTCACAGAGACATCCCACATGAAGGTTGACAGGGCAGAAATGGGGTCTGTTGTACTTCATTTGATTACACTGACCGATGATGCTTGCCACCGATTTTTAGATGAAGAAGGGAAGTGTTTGAAGGAGATGGTAGAAAGGATTCTATCATATGCTGGAATCAAAGAGGAACAGATAAAAGGGAATATCTCAGTCACTGTTTTTGCATCTGATAAAACAAATAAAGGTAAAGATAAGACTAAGTTAGAAGGAATAGCCATTCGCACATTTTTCCTGACACATTGGTAGCTTTTATTTTCTCAAGTATATATGATCTAGTTGTATGCAGGTATATGTACATGAAAAGTCTAAACATTATGATGTAACATTCTGTGAAACTGAATATGTTAATTATAAAAGCACTAATTCAATTCTTGTAAGAAAACCAGGAAGCATGGCTGCCAGGGATATCACAAACATAATCAGTTTCTCTGGTCTATATGACACAAATTCATTTTGCATTGACACCATCATCAGAAATCTTTGATTGATCAATTCTGACAGTGGTGTTGATTTTTGTCATAGCAGGTGAATTGGATGAACATGGAATTGCTGAAATCAAAATAAGAGAGAAATGGAACCTTCTTCTTGAGGAGCTAGAACCCCTCCTCCTTGCTGCTAGCTTAAAATCAAAGGGGATCTTTACTGAAGATGAGGAAAGGAGCTTCATTGATGATTCAACAAGGAGAGAAAAAGTAGAGAAAATACTGGGGAAACTGTTAGCTAGCAAACGAAAAGATAACATTGACCAGTTTATTGAGACGTTAAATGAATTAGGAAAGGAAGAAATTGCTCTAGAGATCAAACCAGAACCAAACCTGCATGAAGAAGCTGGTATGTGTTATTTTTATTACATTTTAAACAGTGAAATATTCACATATGAAAACAAAATGATATTCTGTCACAGTGTGAAAGGACAATTTTATTCAAAATGATATCCTTTCCTAGTCTGACAAATATCAGAAGTGCGGTAACACTCTATTTTTCTTCCCTTATTGAAAAGTTTTGTGAGATGAGATTTTTTATGTTTTCACTCCTACTTTTTAACTCGCAAAAATATCAAATAATCCTGTCAGAATAGTTAAATAAATTCCATATCCAACTAGAAAACATGAATATCCTCTATATATCTCATAGTGGAGAGGTTGATCAATAGCTTTGCCCTTTTTTTCAGAGAAAGTTCGGAAAGGATTTTTATACAAATTTCAGGCAGTAGTAGATGAAATGGAATCATCCATTATTGAAGATACTTTAAGGCGATGTGGTATCGACTCTGAGAACGAGCTGAGCTCAAAACTCGGAAAGAGTCGCAAGGAACGAGCTTACAACTTCCTGATCTCCATTCTGTTGAATGATATGTATGTTCTGGCACTGAAACATGTATTAGAGGACCGAGATTTGAATGACCTTTTTGAATTGCCTGAAGAAATAGAAAGCTCTATTGGTAAGTATTTTTGGTGAATATTATTAGCTCACCTGAGCCGAAGGCTCAATTGAGCTTTTCTGATCAAAATTTGTCCGTTGTCTGTTGTCGTCGTTGTCGTCGTCGTTGTAAACTTTTCACATTTTCATCTTCTTCTCAAGAAC